AACCATGTTTGGAATAGGTAAATATTATCTTGCCGATGCCGGATTTCCGTTGGTTCCCGGATTTCTAGCACCTTACCGTCGGACTCGGTACCATCGTAGAGACATTGAGGGACATCGGCCTGAAAGCCAGAAAGAGCTGTTTAATTTTCGTCATTCATCTCTCCGAAATGTTGTAGAGAGGATTATTGGTCTGCTAAAAAGAAGATTCGCATATCTCAGGCATCAACCAAACCACGACATCGAGACACAAGCTAGGATTATCCTAGCTTGTTGTGCCATTCACAACTTCTTAAGGATTCATGACACAGATGATTTGTTTGACGAGTACTACTTCAACAGCAGTGACGATGAGGTGAACCCTGAACATGTCGAACCACCCGAAGATGACACACCAAATACTCCTATATCGTTCGCTGCAGAGGCTGCATGGGCTACTCATAGGGATACAATGGCTGATGACATGTGGGCCGTTTACCATCCAACACAAGACGTGGGAATTGATTTCGATTGATTGTACTATTCCATAATGTTATGATCACTTCCCTGTAATGTTTTGAGAAAAACGAGAGGATTTTCTTCCATGTAATGCTTTGTATAATTTCAGTTTTCAATTGTTACTACGTGGTAATACAATGCTACTGATTTATTATTGTCAAAGATATCTATGCTTCGTTTGTTTTGTCCCTCCACGTTGTTGTCGATTTACACGATGTTATGATCATACAGTGTCCTTCATTTATTATTTTCCTGCTGTAGTGAAAAATGGCACAGAATCGACGAAGTTCTATGGGTCCTTTTCCAGTTCCTAGACCGACAAACCCTGGGGACGGGAATCAAGTTGATTTGGGTAGAAAGCAAGTGGATGCTAATGCGAAGACTCGTCATGTACGTTGGAGCGACGAAATGGATGGTTTATTTATCACTTCACTTGTTGAACAAGTGTTGGATGGGCACAAACGAACTGACAATGGCTTCACTGCATTTCAAGTGTCTAAGGCAATGGAAAGGGTTTCCAATGGATGCGGAGTTATTGTCTCGGATAAGAATGTGAGGGCAAGGTTGAAGACTCTTAAAAAGGAGCACAATGAAGTGCGACAGTTGCTCAATATGAGCGGCTTCGGGTTGGACCCAGAAACAGGATGCATTGTGGCTGATCAAGTTGCGTGGGATGAATTTATTAAGGTTTGTTGTTTGAAAATTTTATCAATCTGCACTTTCATCTTTAACATACTTTTCTGTGCATCTCTTCGGGATATGGCTGTGAAGCTCTCTTTGTCACTAATTTCTTTCATTTGAAGAGTATAATCTGCGTTCTATTCGAACATTTGTGCACGTGTCCAATACAGAAAATGAAACTTGTATTGTTTCCTCAGACCATCGGCCAAGACTGGAGTTATATTTATGTGTCTTCATGAATTAATTTGTTTCTCTGTTGAACCATAAAATTGAAACAATCTGCCCCGTCGATAGAAGTTCTGAACATGATAGTTCATTGAGGCATTCAGCATTATCTACTTCTGGTTCTCTGTGAGATAATGACTCCATTATAAGTAAAATGTAGTTGCATTGTATGGTTTTCATTTTTTAGAAAATTTTCTGTGGCCTGCTCTTGCCAAAATGAAAAAGTCTATTGTTCATAGCATTAATGTTCCTTGCTTAGTTCCTGTGGCCTGCTCTTGATGGTTTACGAAAAATTCTATTCTTCATAGCTTTAGTTGGTTATTTTTCACTTTCCTTGCTTAGTTCCTTTTTTTTTTGTTGATATGACTTGCTTAGTTCCTTAATTCTTCACGTCCCAGTCATATAGTATGTTCAATGTTCTGGCAGGTGATATTTGTTCATTTTTCTCCAGTCAGCATAATCAATTGTCGACACAATCTGTGAAACCATATAAATCCTATGCCATTACTATCCAATGTACCCTTAGCCAGAACAGCCTATAGGCAGTAGCCAGCATTCAGATAATGATTTTCTCACAGTGCTACTAAACGAGCAGGATTGTGGCCTGCAAGTTCTCCATCAAAAATTCAAAACCAGTGGGTTAATTATTATAATCTGATTCCAGCTTTGCAACAGGGGCTCAGTTTTCTTATGCTTCGAAGGTCAAGCATGTGATCTACAATCATAGAGCTCTTCTAGAGGAGCCTAATGTGTCTTCCTGCTCATTTTTTTTTATTGGCTCTGAGTTATTTACTTTTGAATTTTTTCTTATACTTTGATGGTATTTTGAATAGAAATTAGTTCTTGGAGTGGAAGAGATATTTTGTTTTCTTTTGCTCTATTTGAGTTTTCTTCAGAATGGCTGAAAAGGTTTTATTTAACACATTTGACTGATTTCTGAAATGATTTGAGTAATTTAAGGTGATTCTTGGGGCTGGAGGAAATAATACTGGAAGTGAAGGGTTATTTGGTAAGGTTTCTCCAGGAGGGAGGTGGGGGTAAGATTTTGGGGTTTGTAAAACATGGGATTAGGTGGTGATGCATTAAAGGAGGAGTCTTGGGATGTGGGGAAATCACAGGGGAGGAAGAAGAAAGATGGTGATTCTGAGGAGGAAATCGGGGCTTAGATTAAGTTGAGGTTATTTGCTATTTGTATTGGTATCACTTCTAAATATGATATGGTGAAAAACAATGATTCCTATATACTTGACAAGAAGTTCCTGAGCAAAATATACTGTTTCTGCAACTATATAAGATAGATGATATTAAACTTAAACGAATGTTGAACTTTTGAATTCATGGAAATTCCAGTTAATCTACTTGTCTTGGCATTTGTTGCTGGCTAATTAGAATCATCATGTGGCTGAATCATTCATCTCTACTTTGCAGGGAAATCCAGAATTCGGAAAGTGGAGGACCAAACTTTGTCGAAGATATGATGAGATGGAGACTGTATTTGACAACGATGCAGTCACATGAGATCGCGCAGTGTCTGGTTTCGACGATTTCTCCCCAATGAATGGTATGTATTACATGTTAAAGCTTCGATGCTTGTCTTTTTTTTCCTAATGTATTTTTGTAGATGACTCGGCAATCCTCATTAGGGCGACAGTACTCTCATCCACCGCTTGTTTACGTCGACGCTTGGCTTTTTGCGTTCCCTTTTCGGCTGTACGCTTACGAACATTAACTGGGCTATGATCCATGTCCACATTTTCCATATCCATCTCATTCACACTTTTTGCATTTCTATCTATTTTTTCATTAAGGTTATTAGCAAAATTGGACGAACAATTAAAAAGTGTTTGGAAATTCGTTTAATTGTTTACTGTACATGACAGTGTTGGTGGAGGAGGAAGGAGAAATAAAGAGATTTTTTTTTTCTTTCTAATTTTTTAATAATTTATTTAGGACTCGTTTGTACTTTTTAAAAGAATTTGGGAGTATGATTGCAATAATTTCTTTATTTTTCTTTTCTTTTCCTTTTGTTTAATTTAAATAGAATGGGTATATTCGTCATTTTACAACTTTTTATTGAGAAATTGGATGGAATCAATGATTTCTATAATGAAAGGTGTATATAGAGGTGAAAATGCAAAAGAAAGAAAAAAAAAGGATGAGGACGTTTTGCACGATAAATTTCCAACAGGTTCTGTTCTAATAACCCTTTTTCTTGTCAAGGAACCTTTAACTTGGCATAACTGTTTAATTTCAAAAGCAATCAGTCCATGTAATTTATTGAGGGCAAATGACATTAGGGGTTGTGGAAAGTTCAAAATAAGACCTCCATAGAAAAACAATAACGATAATATTTAATTTACACATATTGCATGTCTATCAAGTTGTATGTATTGCCATTTAAGTATGTATTGCCATTTAAGATTATTATTCGCTAAAATTCTGCAAGTGTATAATATGTAATCGAGTAATAGAGTACTCAATAAAGTATCGTTCCACCATGAACTAAGTATTTAATCCAGTTCTAATTAATACTAACTCTAATTGAATAGTCAATTTATAAATTGTTTATTTTTCTAAATAATTATCTAAATTAATCTAACGAGCAACTAAGAAGCGTTTGTAAGCCGATTAAAGGTATGTACTAAGACTTTGAATCCCTCTTTATTGATATGTTTAAACACAATTCAAGGCCATGAAAACGCTTTTGTATTTTTGTTGAACAATGTTTTTATTTGTTCAATAGTCTCACTCGAGTAAAACTAAGCCTAGTATCACATGTGATATTTTCATATCTCTATGAAGATGCGATCATAAAATAATTTATTTTAAAAAAGCACATATTTAAATCATGCAAGGCATAGAAGTATATCTCTAGGAGAAAAATGACGTGTGCATTTTTGTTTGGAAAGTGATATTTTTTTGTTTTGAAGTTGAACCCATTGTAAAACTTAAAAATCATATTTTATCCGTCCACAATAAAGAATTATTCTTTCGGAGTATTTTAAACTTGAAAAATATGTATGAAGTTCGTATAAAATTATTCTTTCGGAGTATTTTAAAACTTGATCTCCATGCTTTAAGTATTTTTGAACTTTGCTAAACCGCCTTAAGCGTATTAATTCTATGGGAAAATTGCGGCCGAGGTCCCAAACCTTTCATTCTGTTGCAGATTACACCCAAACCTTTAATTTTTGCAGGTGAAGTCCCAAACCTTTATATGTAATTGCAGCGTCGGTCCCAAACCTTTACTTGTTGCGGTAGAAGTCCCAAATCTTTGTACATAATTGCAGCGTAGGTCCCAAACCTTTGTATGTAATTGCAGCGTCGGTCCCAAACCGTGAATTCCGTCCATAAAACCGTTAGTCAACGTTGAAACAGTAATTTTGACT